AGAACTTGTATAAAAAGAAAATTAAAAACTATAGAAATATTTTACTAAGAATTTTACAAAATTAATCTTAACTTTTAGATTTTAATTTTAAATATTGAAATTCGATTATTATTGATTTATCATTTCATTCAAAATTTAAATTAAAAATAATAATACAGTCTACATTTATACCAATGATATCATGCGCTGTGTTTGGTAGAGTAAAAAAATCTATGCCAGTTTTTTTGTAAATCGCATTTTATTATACACGACCATATATGAAACTAGATACATATTATTGTGTAGTAGTACTTCATATGCACATGACAGTTTTGGACCGATATTAGTCGAATAAAAATCATTTTCAATTTTGAAATGTTAACGAATTTTTACGTGAATTCCCTGTAAATTCGAAGTTTTATATTGTTTTTACCCTATTATACTATAAATTTTMTAAGCAACTGAATTCAATTTCAAAATATGAACTCTTAAGAAAAGGATTTATTCTTAAAGTTGAAAAAACTTTCACTATATATTCTCATYGCAGTATTCTCTGAAACAAATAAAGTTTAGATCATCTGAAAACCAATAGCCGACATCGTTTTATTTGATCAGAAGCAAATGTCGATGATCGTCAAAAGTTTTTTTTTTTATTGGGTTGATTGCTATAAAATTGATAAAATTCAATTTATTCATTGACATATTTTATACTGGAATGATAAAAACACTAAGTTATATATCAGTAGTTGTTTCGTTAAACATTACATATCAAGGGTTCATACATTACTTACAGCTCGTTTATCAAGACAAGTATGATACTAAGTAATCGGTGACATCAGTAAAAAACGTTTACGATAAAAATAAAATGTTGAGTATTATCGGTGAAAGATATAAGCGCCAAAATGAGATAAGAAAAAAATTTTGTATAGTGTAAAAGCGCCAAAATCATATCGTACTACATAAGTGCCAAAATCCTAGGTACCTGTGTGCCATTATTGTTATTATCTAGATATTAAATCTAGAACTAACTGATTTATTAAATTTATATTGATTCGCATGTATATTATTATTTGACGATTAATTATTACTGAACATTTTTCAATATAATATAATTTTTTATACGACACTAATTTTTAAATAACTTTCTACTTATATAAAATATTAATTTTGGTGCATATCATATGCCATTTTTGTACTTTTGGCGCTTATGTTATTTAGCAAGTATTATGATTGTTGACATGCCTTACCTTTATACTGTTCTGTATTATGGTGTTGCAGAGAATTTGGTGTTAAACGTTTTAAAATATGTAATCGTATAAATATAATTAACATTATATTGTACTCCTCCAAAACATTATTTTGTTGAAGTACACTCTAATACCATGGAGTGTCATTAGCTATAGTATTAGATAATAATTACTRTATTATGATGGTTTTTGGAATGCTAATCACCATTACACAATTATTTTRGCTGAAAATACTACTAACTTAAGTCAATAATTAATGCTCATTAGTYTATAACACGTATTATACGCGTATTACATACCGGGTGAGTGTTTAGTCATTGAAAAATKATTTTTTTARTGGTTCAACAAAGTAAAAACTTAAAAATGTTGAGGATAAAATATATATGTAAATTTTCAAAATAATGTTTTTAAAACGACAAGAAACCATTTTTTTTTTCAAAAACATTTTTAATTTTTGAAATCATTAATGTTCAATGATAAAAAAAAAAAAGGTATTTATTTTAAATAATGACTACCATGATGATACTGAACGATCCACAAAAATTAAAATCGTATATTATATACAATCATAAATATAAATCTCAATGTAATTATTATAAATAATAATTATACTGTGTACAGTGTACACGTTGTAATGTATTTGTAGACATAAAATATGTGAAACGGAGAAACTTTAATGATATTTCCAGACAGTTGTCGTTTTCAATAATATCTGTGATTTTTACAAATATGCAAACACAACAAATAATATAATGTAAATCAAAATATCGGATTATCTGTCGTGTGTCTCATCTCTTATCAATCAATCAAATAATATTTGTTTCTCGTGTTTTTTATTTTCCYCCGGAACCGAGTATTTTATTGTAATAATATACAATGTTATGTATATACAATGTATCATGTATCGCAAAATCGGATTCAGCCGTTGCGTGAAGAGAACAAGTTGTGGAGAAAAGGTTTAATTAAAATGTTTATTTCTCATTGATATACACGGGATTCAGCAGAACTCGTCAAAATTCCACTCGTCTATACTATACTATTATAATAATGTACAATAATATATCATTAACAATAATTTTACATGCGTGTGAATCACATAACAAATAATATTATTATAATTTGTTTAATTTTGTAAGTCATATTCGAACAAAACATGGGATCAACCGTGCACTCGAATCATCTTCGACTAGAATGATTTGAACATCAGATTAATAATAATATAATATTATAAAACCACTAATCCAGTGATCGCCAATTCGCAACCAACTATTTGAAGACATGTTTCAAATGCTTGGGCCAAAACCTGCCAGTCCTCAACATAATATCATTCCTTCAGCAAACAGGATTGGACAAGTTAATTTGATCAGAATACTCAACCTTGTCTCTGTTTTCTTTTTGTTTGTTTGTTTACTACTAGTCAACTGTTAATGTAATATATATTAGTATAAATGCAATGATGCGTCCAATGGTTATAGTTGCCGTGGACTGTTTTGCTTTAAAGTAACTAGTCCCTTTAGATAATGTTCAAAATAATTTTTTTATGTAAAGTTATCGTCACAGCTCACAAGTATCTATGTCCTATATATTATATCCAATACAATCATCAATACCTACTCACTACGCTACTACGTAGCAGGTAAACATTATTACGGTAAAAAATTAATCAGATTGGAAAAAGGAACATATCAACTGCGCCGATCGATAATCTCATATAACAAATTATGTACGTCGATTATTGCACTGACCGCTTCTTAAATATACATAAACGTAAAAAATACTATTTCTATTATAACTGCAGAAAATATATTCAAATATTGRAATAGAAATTTAGAAGGCAATAAAATAAAATTCTWCACTTATAWATTATAATAATATCTACATTTTTTAGTTTTAATTCACTTTTTTTAGAAAAGTAAATATTGACAACGAAATCAAGACAAATTAAAATATAAATATTAACTATATTAATCAACTATACTACACATTTACATAAGTTAAAATTATAAAAATAAAAATAAACTAACRCGGTTTGCGTCATTGGGTTTTATTAAAATGCTTCAACGGAATAATTAATGTAATGTCTTTTTATCATACTTTTTTTGTACCAGCGTAAAARATACACATCACTACACAGTTATATGTAGTCTCCCAAATTTGGCACAATTTACGAACACCGATTATTGTATTATATAATATTGTAGGTACCTGTATAATGATTTGTTATAATCTGTCATAACTCATAAGACCATTCAACGAAAACCTCGACGTACTTATGTATTATTATTATGTATACCTACTATATTATTATATAATATAGTCGATCGCACAAAAGTGAGTGTGGTATAAAACGTCAGTTGACCGTAGCTAACTGTAATGCGACCATCGTCCATCGTGTTTGGCCCATACATCGGCACATTTGCCGGAACATTTGGCACAGGACAAATCGTACGTCGACCTAAACGCACAACTCTGACACTGTCCGAGACACGCGCCGGTCGTAGTATAACCACGGTTACGACCATACTCTATATATCTACGTATTTATGTGCGTATAAWACGACTTAGTTCAAACGACCAGCCTTATTGGYGTATATCGTATACAATATATATAATATATATGGAATTGCGTATGGGGAAATGGTGTAATTTCATCGTTTCGGTCACCGGTGTTCGCGATTTGTGCGCGAAAAACTTTCGTTGGATTAATATATTGATTCTTTTTTCTCTCTCGCAAAACACACAATATCACCGCTATTACCTTACACAGCGAGAAAACTTTACGTGTATAATAAGTTYTTTTTCCACTCGCATTGTCTTACGAGTATCTGCTGCGTATAAACCTGCTGCAGCTATTGAGAAATAATAATATGATGTACGATATTATACATATAAACTATTATAATATTAATATATAAATATTTGTACATCCCATACGTATCTATTGTATGATATACCTATAAGCTATCACTGATTATAAATACTATAGCGTTGCATCGGATTTGGAATTGTTTACGATGAACACACGAATGTAAACTTAGCTATAATGTATTTAAATAAAGCCATCGAAATTTAATATATTTTCGAAACTCCATACTGGCGAAATCGACAGTCATTAATTGTCACTTATCGTGATATATTTGTTTTGAACAAAACTGCAGTTTTCTAAGAATATCAGATCAGACTATATTGTTCTAAGTAAAGAAACTTAATTTTTACAAACTGAGATCTATATAAAGACGATCTAAAATAAACAAAAAACAAATTTTAGTTTATGGAAAATAACTTTGAGAACCCTAACAAATAGTTAACATTTAATCCTATTAATGACATACCATAAGCTAAATGGCTTCAAAGCTTATTTGGTTTTACCTTATACATTTAGTTTTAAAAATTTGCATTTTCAATACATTTATACTTAAAATACATTTAAAATATAGCATTAATATTATTTTTCCAAAGATGTATAAAAGTCTTCAAAATCGTTTTATGGTACCTACTTAAATTTTTAACTAAAAGTAACCATGAAGATTAATTGAATTTTTAATATGATTGTCACTTCTTAGTAAACAATAGAATTACTATTTTTCTACCTTCGAATATTATTACTTTTGATATAAATACTTAATTACCTATTTCTGTTGTATTAAAAATTAAAATATTACAATCTGTAAAATATATTAATAATGTTATTGTATACAATCTTATAAGAATAATATAAATATGAAAAAGCGATTTAAACACTCAGACTACATTGATTAAACTCAATTTCCAAAATTACATTAATATTATAAGCTCAGATGGAATGAATGAAATACGATTAGTTCCTATGCACGACAACATTCGATATCTTATCTGCCTTATAAGGAATATTAAATTTATCAATGTTAGTGTACGGTTTATAACAATATTAATCTATTAATCTGAAATAGGTTTGGTGAATCAAGTGGTATAGTTATAAGGCGGTGGCCAGGAAAAAGGAATAATTCATGTACGATATTATGTCTTGAGTAATATTTGCACGATATGTCTTTAGTCGGTTGGGTTTTTTTCATGACAACAAATGTGAGATTAAAATATAATGTGAGGACTGTATGACAAGACATTTTTTGTCTGACTCCCATATAACCATGTTAAGATTTATATCCACATAATATTTGGGGGCTGCTCATACATACCAGCCAAGTGTTAAGGATGACAGTTGCTGGTCTTTCCAGAATGCATATTATAATATATTGTTGTTACTTTTCTTACGATACAATTTATTGAACACATTTTGCTGCATAGAGGCAAGTCTTACAAAGTGGTACACCTCTCTGATGTGGTTATTAAAAAAAGACGCTATATTTACTATTTTTTTTTTTATTACAAGATTACAACCATACTTTTTATACCAATATAAAAATCGTTGATTCATGGGTGCATGATACTTTTAGGTGAACCTAATGATGCTATGTTTATTTTTAAATCGTAAAAATACATACCTGGGCATTGTGAACACTTCAATTCATCAGTGTGATCTTCACAATCGAAATGTCCATCACATTTCCAATCCAATGGRATACATCTCTTTTTATCACACTTAAACCCTTCGTGGCAAACTGCAAACATAACGTAATACATTTCTATAGATCATTTTCATCATATAATCAAAATCTGTTTCACAATTTAATAAAATAATAGAGTTAAATTTTAAATTATATCGATTTATTATTTATGGTTAATACTTATTAATATTGTATGGTTTATAGTTAATCTAAAATTAATTGATAAATATATATAAGAATCAAAGCGTATATTATAATGTATAATTATTATATATGTATATATATAATTTTTTGTCATAAATTATAATGCGTACGATAGTGAAAACGTTACATTTGTGGGGTTTTATAAATATATAGAACTAGTTGGCCGTTTCCACTATATTAATTACAACTGCACATGATGAAAATTAATTTGATAAACATACTTAAATGRAWACATTTTTGCGTGCGTCAAATGAGATTCATAGAAAAGATTCATTTAAAACAAAACCTTTCAGTGCACATCGCACAACAAAACGTAATGTAATTTGCATTATTAAAATTATTAGATTTCAGTCTAAAGGATATAAGTTCTACAATACACCGTAAATAAACTATACAGATTCAAATGTTAACGTAATATAACTTCTTTTTTTCGATGATGAATTGTAATAAGAAGTCTATAAATTAATCAATTTGTATTGAACAAATACGACACCTTGCTTCAACTATAATGTTTCAAGTGATACATCATTAGAAGGTCCATGAATTTTCTTCGATTAATAATAGGTAGCTATATTCCATGGCTTATTTATCAATTAAAATTTTACTAGACAGGGGCAAAATGTCGACAGACTGTGAACAAATAATAMATATTTGTTTTCAACACGTCTTCATCACAAGAATGATGACCCATTAGGGCAAATGGCCATATAATTAAAATATAATCGTAAAAATTAAATACTGATATTTGTATACAATATATAACTATACCTATATAAGTTATTAATATTTAATTGAAAGCTTATTTCACTTAAAACGGATATTATAGTGTCTTAACAGTTAACAGTCTTAACCCAGAATACCAATATTAGTTTAGATAATCTTGTAACGTGGGATGCTTGTAAAAATAAAAAGTGGGTAAGTCGTGGATGTCGCTCCGCTCTGCTGTACAGTGGGTTACTGTAATATTGGATGGAATTAAATTTGAATCCAATGATATTATATCATTGTATACAAAAAACGATTCTGCGC